CCTCCTCCTCCTCCTCCTCCTCCACCTCCTCCCCCTCCACATCAGAGGGTGGAGGGAACAGGCAAGCTCGCTCCACTGCTCGCAAAAATGGAACTACTCGCAAATGGCCTGGATCTGCCGCGGGGGATCTACGATCCATTGAATCGAGGCAAACACGCATCTTCCCGACGTTTGCGAACGAACACTCTGCGAGCAGTGGAGCGCGCTCGGTGAGGCCAGTGGGAAGCCGCACGGCAGGTTCATGTCGTGTCGACCCCGACGCTCCTGGCACCGCGGAGGTCGCTCAACCTTGACCGATCGGCCGCTTCCGCAACGTCCGATCGTTCAACGTCGACCGATTCTGGGCCGCCGCCGGCGTTCAACGTTGAACGCCAGCGGCGGGTTCGCCACCGGTCGACACGACGCGAACCTACCGCACCCACTTTGGCTCAAGCGCCGGCTCGAGAGAGTTTGCAAGCGGGTCCAGACCCAGGTTCGCGGACCCCTGGCTGGGCCGACCGCCTTTCTGTCACGCTGCGCGGACACACGCGCAGCAGCACAGCACCAGCGAACATCATCATCATCATCATCATCATCATCATCATCATCATCATCATCATCATCATCATCATCGTCATCATCATCATCATCATCATCGTCATCATCATCATCATCCTCATCATCATCATCATCAGCATCATCATCATCATCATCAGCAGCAGCAGCATCATCATCAGCATCATCATCGTCGGGAAAGGGCGAGAGAGAAGAGGTGGGCGGAAAGAGGGGGAAGACGGCGGCGTGTATCGGCAGGGCCACGGAGCGACGTGTTGGCGAAGGTACGGACAGAGACGGGACACATCATATGAGAGGACTGAAGAGAGAGGCAAGGACACAGGCAGCGAAGACGGCAGAGACAGAGACAGAGGCAAGAGCAAAGACAGATGGAAAGAGATGGAAAAAGAGGGAAAGGGAGACGACGACGACGACGACGACGACGACGACGACGACAACGACGACGACGAGCAAACAAAATACAAAGGGCGAGGGCGACGGGGGGGAGATGGGCGAAGCAGGGGCACGTGAGGAGCGAAGGAGGCGGGCGAACCGCCAAAAATACCGATGTTGCTGCTGCTCCCTGGACCTCTCGCGGGGGCTACCCCGACCAAGACTCTGGCGGTGGCGACGCGGGCCATCCAGGACACCGGGGCATCCGATGCCTTCATCTGCTCGACAAGGGGTGCCAAGAAGGCCGACCCTGTCTCCAAGAGCAAGCTTTCCATCCTGCGTCGTTGTCTGGCGGTCCTGGGGCCTGAGGCCGAAAACGGCGCAACAACTCCTGCCTCGATCCTGCAAGACCTCAGACGTCTGGGAGGCGCACCGCAGCATCGGGCCTCCTCCCCCCCCCCTCCGGAGGGCGAAGCGGGGGGTGAGGCAGCGGCCTCGCCGGAGTGGCCGGCGGGCTGCGAGCTCACTCGGAGAGCAGGTGTCAGGAAGGTACTCCAGATTTCGTAATAAAAGGGAGGGGGTCTGGACCCTCCAAGACAAGCCATTTCAGACCTCCCCCGTGGGAGAACCCTCCAAAACATCGTCCCCAGACCCCCAGGCCCTCCAAGATAGCCTGGAAGATACCCCCCCCCCGAAATGAGACCCCCCTCCCTTTACTACGAAATCTGGAGCATCGGGAGCCGAGCTCGCGACAGACAGCGGCCACAGCTCCGCCTCGCCCTCCCCCGAGGGCGAGGTCGACAGAGAGCCCGCCCCCGTGTGCCCCGCCGTTGAAGAGACCCACCGCCGTCGAGGCCTCGACCGGGCTGGAGTACCGCACCACGGCGCGGCACTTGTCCTGGCAGCGCCCCCGCAGCGCCGCCGACGCAGGCGGACAGTGGCGTGGAGACGACGTGGGCGGCTGCGGCGGCGGCCTGACGGCGCTGCGGCGGCGACGACGACGGCGGCGACGACGGCGACGAGGGAGAAAGTGGCGCGACGACGACGGCGGCGGCGGCGGATAGCGCTGCGGCGCTGCGACGGCGACGATCGGCGGCGGCGATCGGCGGCGGCGGCGTTGGCGGCGACGACGACGACGACGACGACGACGACGACGGCGGCGGCGGCGGCGGCAGCGGTAGGTGCTGCTGCGGTGGAGCTTCCATTGCAACACCGCAGCACCACTCTGGTGGCCGCTCGTCACCGCAGCTCGTCGCCCCTCGCTCGCGCCGTCAGCAACCCCTCGAGTGCCGAGGGCAGGGGGATCGAGGATCGAGGATCGAGGGGGAGGGATCGAGGACCAAGAATCGAGAATCCTGGATCGAGGATCACTGGGACGCAGAAGGACATCTACGAGTAAGTACGATACGCGCCCTCCTCGGAGGCGCAGGTCCGAATGAAACAGTACAAACACATAATAGAATCCGCAGACCCTTCGTCGTCGTCGTCGTCGTCGTCAGTGCCAAGGACACGGTGAAACTCAAAAAAATGGAGGAACGTCGTGGTGAAGTCGAAAGGGAGGCCCCTTCCCCTGGATCCCCTCCGTACCATGGGACGGGGGAGGTGTGAGCGGGGGAGCGTGTCAGAAGACCGCCCCCCTGAGTCCCCAGGGGGTCCGGGGCGGCGGCGACGACGACGACGACGACGACGACGACGACGACGACGACGGCGACGACGACGACGACGGCGGCGACGACGACGACGACGACGGCGGCGGCGGCGACGACGGCGGCGGCGGCGGCGGCGGGGGAGGCCCCGCCGTCAGGGTCTGCGGCACCGGCCGTGGGGCCATCGCCAAAGCGTCGCCCGAGCAGCCGTGGCCAGAAGGCGCCCCCACCGCCGAGCATGTGCGCTACAGTCGGGGCGTTGACCTGAGGAACCCCAAATAAGGAACGAGGCCCCTTTTTTCCATAAGTTAAATTTCGATTTCCGATCAAAAACATCAGGAACACCTGAGGCGAGCTGTGAAACACTCTCAAGGAACACGGAGCCCCTCCCCAACGAAAAGGGTTCCTTCTTCAAGGCCCCGACTGTACAAGACTCCCGGGCGCGCGCCTCGTTCCGAGGCCGACGCACACACACAGCACCCATGTGTAAAAGCATCCTGCGGTGATATCGGATCAAGGATCGGCGGGAGGGGACCGAGGAACGAGGATCCAGTCAACCCGCACTCTGGATGGAGCCATATAATCGCCGCCCCCTTGGATCTGCTGGGGGGGTCGGGCACGTGCTGTCGGAACGGGTGGAGGGGGGTTGGAGGAGGAGGAGGAGGAGGAGGAGGAGGAGGAGGAGGAGGAAGAGGAGGAGGAGGGGGAGGAGGTGAAGGAAGAGGGGGGGGATGGGCAAGCTCCGTCGGAACGTTAGTAGCCCACCCCTCGATCAATATCCCCCCAGAGTATAGTAAGGATGCGCTGTGAGGATGCAAGGGTCTTGGGCGCCCATGCCGAGGCTCTTCGAGCAGGGCTGGCCATCGGAAGTGGCTGAGGATGGAGCGAAGAAGACCGAAGAGGCAAGGATGCAGGGGTACCCGTGGGAAGTCGATCATGCTTACCATCAGGGTTGACTGGAAAGGTTTCTGACACTCTTCAGGCCTCCAGGGGCCCCCCGAGGCCCATGACAGCGGTTTCCAGAGGCCTCCAGGGGCGCCTGGAGGCCTCCAGGGACCTCCATGCTCGGGGCAGACGGAATGGGGGGGCTGCTAACGAGGGGATGGCGAATCAGCTCACGTGCCTGGTTTCCCCAGCGCCTCATAGCGCTAGGTCGGGCATGTCCTCCTGCAGGCGGATTATGTAAGAAAAATAAAGAATTGTCAAACATTCGCTGGTCCAACGGGCCAGAGGCGTGCTATGATCTCCAAAAACGGGTTCACAGTATTTCTACTTCGCGCGCGCGTGGCGGTCCCTGGGGACCCCTGGACGAAAAACACCCCGGTCGAGGCCCGGGCGATGCCTGGCTGACTCTCCCAGGGCGCTCCAAGAGGGCGCTGGGACGCCCCCAACACGGCCCAAGAGGCCCCGAGTCGCCGAAAGATTGTTCCAAGACGCTCAAGATTGTCTCCAGATGGCCTAAGAGGCCGCGAAAAAGCCCCAAGAGAGCCTCAAGAGGCTCTCCCAGAGAGCCCCAACAAGCAAAAATCGATCGCCCCATTCCTTTCGAAAAACCTACATTTTTCGCATGTGCGACGTTTGGGGGTTCACAGCGTCCAGAACTGCCACAGAGGCCTCCAACATAATCCCCAGAAGGCTCGACACGCCCCGAAAATGGGCCCACGAGAGCCCAAGAGGGCCCCAAGACGGCCCAAGAGGGCCCCAAGACGGCCTAAGAGGCGGCCAAGACGGCCCAAGAACGCCCCAAGACGGCCCCAAGAGGGGCCAGAGACGCCCCAAAATCGCGCCAAGCCGCCCAAGATGGCCTCAAGTCGGCCTTGGCGGTGCAAGAGGCTTCCACGAGGCCTCCCAAGAGGTCCCCACGAGACAAAAATCGAGTTTCCATAGGTTTTGGGAGGTTTCAGCCTTCTCACCTTTTCGGCTTTCCGACGCTCCAAGATGGCCCAAGAGGCCCCCAGGAAAGACGGCCCGAGAGACCATAAAGACAGCCCCACGGCCCAAGACGGCCCCAAAACGGCCCCAGAGGCGCCCAAGATCGCCCAAGAGTGCCCCAAGACGGCCCCAAGAGGTGCCTACGAGATGGAACACGAGTCACCGATTCGAGCCTTCCACCCCAAGAGGCCCCCAGGAGGCCCCACGAGGCCCCCAAGAGGCCCCACGGAAAGGCTCCACGAGGCACCCGAACGGCCCCCAAGAGGCCCCAAGGGGCCACGAACGCGTCCAACCCCGCGGATCATCTGAAATCACCAACCGATACTCGACGTCGCAAGTTGGCAGGCTGACGTGTTTGATTCGAGGAGCGGCGCACACAAGACATCATAGCGGCTGTGCTTGAGGGTGATGGGACCAGTAACACGTGCCACCAGAATTGTCGGTTGAGTTTGCGCCTGGAGGGCAAAACCCTGCCAGCCACAGCCACGCCTCAGGAGCTGCTGCAGCTGCGATCCCCTCGGCATTGGTGCCGCCGGTGGACCCCTCTCGGGTTCGGAACACGCGTTGGCTCTACCCCCCCTCCTCCTAAGACGAAGCCAGGATCGGGAGGGGGAGGAGGAGGAGGAGGAGGAGGAGGAGGAGGAGGAGGAGGAGGAGGAGGAAGAGGAGGAGGAGGAGGAGGAGGAGGAGGAGGCGAAGGAGGAGGAGGAGGAGGAGGAGGCGGAGGCGGAGGCGGAGGAGGAGGAGCAGGGGGATGAAGAGGAGGAGGAGGAAGAGGAGGAGGAGGAGGAGGAGGCAGAGGAGGAGGAGGAGGAGGAGGAGGAGGAGGAGGGCTATATCGGGGATCTCTGAGAGCAGGCGGGTCCAGAAAATGCATCGGGTGCTGCGGCCGCTCCAGGGCGCTCTGCACCGCCCTCCGGGGGCGTTCCGGAACGCTCCCGATAGAGCGCGGCCTGTCACGATCCTCGCCAGCCAGCGCCCCTCACGCTCGCGCTCCTCGACGTCGCCCTCACCCTCACCCTCCTCACCATCGCACTCACCCTCACCCTCCTGCACCCTCCTCGCACTCGCCCTCCGCACCCTCTGCCCAGCCCTCACGCATCCTCACTGGGACTGGGCCTCGCCTCGCCCCCATCCTCACACGTGGCTGGGCACGACAAGTCCACGCATACATCCACCTATCGCTATGTCAAGACCGCCTGGCCTGCCATCTCAGAGTCGGAATCCCTTCGACCGAAAATTCCTGCACCTCCCCGCCCTCGGAGACGGGGAGGCGGACCAGCGGCGGCGGGAGACGAGGAGGAGGAGGAGGAGGAGGAGGAGGAGGAGGAGGAGGAGGAGGAGAGGAGGAGGAGGAGAAGAAGAACCAGCAGGAGGAGGGGAGGAGGAGAGAGGAGGAGAAGGAGGAGGAGGAGGAGAGAAGGAGGAAATAGAGGAGGAGGAGGAGGAGGAGGAGGAGGAGGAGGAGAGAAGGAGGAGGACCAGTGGAAACCCAAGAGTCATCAACGATGTTGAAATTACCCTCCATTCAAGCCCCCTCTTCATAAGGTCCTACAACGGTTCATGTCCATTGAGGGAACTGCCTCGTTGGAAGACAACCGTTTGAAGATCCTGAAGCGTGCCAAAACATGTTCTCGGGATTTCAACGCCACGTATCAACCTGACTGACTGCTGCGTCTTAACGATCCAGAATCGTGCCAGAACGCCATTTCTGGGACTTCAACACGAATCAGCATAACTGTTGCGCCCGCATAGTCCTGAATCCTTCCAAAACACTATTTCTGGTACGTTGATCATGGGAATCCGTGAAGCTAGCTCTTGCAAATGTTTGAAACGAATGCGCGCGGCGCTAAGGCGAGAACCACATTTTGAAAACAACAAGGGCCCTCAATCCGTGAAGCTCTTGCAAAGTTTGAAAACGAATGTGCGCGGCGCTAAGGCGAGAGCCACATTTTGAAAACAACAACCGCCCTCAATCCGTGAAGCTCTGGCAAAGTTTGAAAACGAATGTGCGCGGCGCTGAGGCGAGAACCACATTTTGAAAACAACAACCGCCCTCAATCCGTGAAGCTCTTGCAAGTGTTGAAAACGAATGTGCGCGGCGCTAAGGCGAGAGCCACATTTTGGAAACAACAACCGCCCTCAATTCGTGAAGCTCTTGCAAGTGTTGAAAACGAATGTGCGCGGCGCTAAGGCGAGAGCCACATTCCGAAAACGATCCGCCGTCCATCTGTGAAGCTGGTGTCACTTTGTAAGCTTCAGGGTCATAAACGGTGAGGAAGTCTCAGGCGAAACGCTCGGCCCTCCATGAAAACTGGCCTCGGGGTGCGACAGGGAGAAGTTATCTATAAGGAGAAGGAATGCAGGAGGAGGCGGAGGAGGAGTAGGCGGAGAAGGAGGAGGAGAAGGCGGAGGCGGAAAAGGCGGAGGACTCCCGCGGGCGGTCCGAGGGGCCCGCGGGCGCCGGCTCGTCCATGCCCACCTCGCTGGAGAACTGCGCCGCAATAGCCTCGCTGCGCGCGGCCGGTCAGCGCTCCGCGGGCCCAGGGGCTTAGGAAACGGATAGGGCAATGTGTTTGGCCGTTGCTCCGGTGTTTTGCTGCGTCTGGAGCCGTTTTGTTTTCGTTTCCGGCGCCGTTGATTTTCGGTTGCCCTGGTGAACCCTGGTCGAAATCACCAATCTTCTGCTGGATCCGAAGCGTCTCCGAACCGGTCCCTAATGTCCTTCGGATCCACGGACTAGCCAGGCGGTTTCGATTAGCGCTTCCTCACTGCTCTCATGATTACGAAGCATGTTTGAAGACTATGTATATATATACACATATACACGTCGGTCGGAAGAAGTAGGTAGAAGCATGAAGTAGGAAAGCGGTGAAAAGAGATGGGGCTTACGTCCGCCCCGCGAAGAGGAAGGCAGAGGGGAATCGTTGGATCACTGGAGTAGGTAGGCGCCAAAAGTAGATTGGGATATGATGGTCCAAACATACAGCAGGGGCCCGACCACAAGAAACCTTCCACAAGGAACCCAACCCCGAGGCCCCAGCAGCACGTCCGGTGCTGTTTGGTGCGGGAGCGTCACGCTTCTCATAGCGGGACCATCGAAGCGCGAGAAACCCAGGGCGCCCTGGAAGCAAGCACGGTGCTTCTTGGCATGGGTCTCCACAGTACCGTCCTCCTCCTCTCTCCTCCTCCTCCTCCTCCTCCTCCTCCTCCTCCTCCTCCTCCTCCTCCTCCTCCCAACGACCGACGGGCATACACAATATCAAAACATTTCACAGTTATACACACATTTGTTTATTTATATATATATATATATATGTATATATACATGCATTTTCCCTACCTAGGCTCTGCCTAGAAGGGTTCTTACTCTCTAGCTTAAAGGGGCCGGGCAGTGGAAAGCGCCCCGGGCGGTTCCCCCAGTCCCCGCCCCGCGGTTCCCCCAGTCCTCGCCCCCTGGGTTCACCCAGCTTAGCTTAGCTAAGCTTAGCTTGGCTTAGCTTGGCTTAGCTTAGCTTAGCTTAGCTTAGCTTAGCTTAGCTTATCTCATCTTAGCTTAGCTCAGCTTAGCTTAGCTTTGCCTAGCCTAGCTTAGCTAAGCGTAGCCTAGCTCATCTTAGCTTAGCTTAGCTGAGCTTAGCCTGGCTTAGCTTAGTTTAGCATGGCTTAGCTTAGCTGAGCTTCGTTTAGCTTAGCTTAGCTTAGCTTCGCCTAGCCTAGCTTAGCTTAGCTTAGCTTAACACACCTTAGCTTAGTTAACTTAGCTTAGCTTAGCGCAGCGCAGCATAGCGCAGCGCAGCATAGCGCAGCGCAGCATGAGCACAGCATAGCATAGCATAGCATCGCCAAGCATAGCATAGCATAGCATAGCTCTGCATAGCATCGCACAGCATATCATAGCATTGCATCGCATAGCATAACATAGCTATGCATAGCACAGCGCAGCATAGCATTGCATAGCACAGCACATCACAGCATAGCATAGCATATCATAGCAAATCAGATCATAGCGCAACACAGCATAGCATAGCATAGCATAGCATAGCATAGCATAGCATAGCGCAGCATAGTATGTCATATCATAGCCTAGCACAGCATAGCATAGCCCAGCATAGCATAGCATAGCATAGCATAGCGCAGGATAACATAGCATAACATAACACTACTACTACCGCTACTGCTACAACTGCGACGATGAGGAGAAGGAGGACGGCGTTTACCGTTACTACTAATATTGCTCTCCTAGGGGCTCCAACTCCTAGGTAGGGTCGCTCTGGAATAATTTATATATCATATTATATATCAATATAATAAGAATGATAATAATAAGCATCAGCAGAATAACAAATAACTAGTAGCTAATAATAATAACAATAATAATAAGAATACGAATGCTCGTAGCAATAATAATAATAATGATAAGAATAAACTGAGGGCGCCCCTCGGCCTCGGGAGCAGGGGAAGGAGCGGCACCGCCCGGGGCCCGAGCTGCACACTCGGGGGCGCGCCAACACGGATCAGCGATCCATGAATTGGCGATCCATGGATCGCTCAGACACGGCGCTGAATCCAAGGGGGGGGCCCTTCTGGACACCCCTCGGCCTCGGGAACAAGGAAGAGCGGCACCACCCGGGGCTCGAGCTGCACTCGGGGGCGCGCCAACATGGATCAGCGATCCATGAATTGGCGATCCATGGATCGCTCAGACACGGCGCTGAATCCATGGATGATCGATCCATGGATTTAGCGAGATGCGGCCGGTGCCGCCTCTTTCGGCGGCGGAAGTCTGCGATTATACCCATGGAAACGGGGCCCGTGGCTAATCCACGCCCCCTTGATCCATGTTTGCGATCGCCTGAATATATAATGCTATTCGTTTTCGTTTGTGTGTTTTCGTTGTCCCTCGTTCCGTCTTCGATCTGCCTTTGCTGCGAAACGAAATCAAAAACGAAAACGGTCCATAAAGTCGCCAAAGCACAGTTTAGCTCGAGCCCTGACACCACCACCACCACCAGGCACCACCAACGGGAGAAGCCAGGGGGGGGTCCCCCTAGTGGTGTGGTCCCCCACTCTCGCTCGAAACGTCCCCTGTCGACAGAACGGGGAGGCATCGTAGACCTCCTCACTGGAGGTTGCCCCCCTGGTGGTGGCGGTGTCGCTTCTGTTTCCCTGCGGTCTTCGGCGGTCTTCGGCGGTATGCGGCGGTCTTCGGCGGCATGCGGCGGTCTTCGGCGGTCTTCGGCGGTCTTCAGGCGGTCTTCGGGCCGTGTTCGGCGGTCTTCGGGCGTTATGCGGCGGTCGCCGGCGGGCCTCTCGCGGTCTCCGGCGGTGTCCCCCCCCGTCTCCGGCACGATGACCCGAGGGCGGCGTTCGACAGGGGGCCCACGATCGAGCAGCGAGAGAGAGGGGGAGCTCTGCGAAGGCGGGGGAGCCTCTCCGAAGGCAGGGGCCGCTCCCAGGCGCTCCCAAGCGCTGCCAGGCGCTCCCAGGCGTTCCCCGCACGCTCCCAGGCGCTCCCAAGCGCTCCCAGGCGCTCCCAGGTGTTCCCAGGCGCTCCCAGGCGCTCCCAGGCGTCCAAGCATTCCCACGCGCTCCCCAGCGCCCACAAGCGCTCTGAGGCGCTACGCGACGCTCCCAGGCGCTCCCGCGCGCTCCTGGGCGTGTTAGAAGCCAGCCCGGCTTTCGAGAGGCCTTCTCGGGACCTCCGGGGGGACCTTCGACGGCTACTGCCTTCTGGGCAGCACCCCCGAGCCTATCCAGGAGCACGAGAAGTCCGTGGCAGGTGGAAGAATCTGGAAGAGAATCGTATTGGATATGGTCACGCTCCTAGCAGAGTCCGACGGGGAATGGAGAAACCTCGAATACAATCACTCCTAAGTATTGTTAAGCCCCTGCTAATCGCTGCCACGCCTTGCCCTGCTGAACCTTGCTAGCCACTGCGGTTCCGTGCTATGTTCTGCTGGCCCCTGCGAAGCTTTGCGAGGTGTAGCCACGCACTGACAAGCACTGCCAAGCGCGGCTAAGCCTTGCTGGCAGCCTGCTAAGCCTTGCCTAGTCTTGCTAGCCACCTGCCAAGCCCAGCGGAGCCTTGATAAGCCCGACCCGACTTTCTAGGCCCTGCTAGCCTCTGTTATGCCCTGCTAACACTTGCCAATAGTTGCTAACACCTGCTGGCATTGCTAAGTTCTGCCAGCACCTCGGTAACCTGCTAATCCATGCGGAGCCACACCTACTATCATCTTATCAAAGATGGATATCTTGCTAACGGAATCCGATTAGAGGGGACTCACCTCTCGCAGAATCCGGTTAAGGAGGGAGCAATATGTAATACAACCCCATCAAGGAAAGACTCAGCTCTAATAGAACCCCATGACAGGTGGATCCAATTCTACCATGGACAGGGCAAAGGGTGATTGAATTGCATGCAGTGTGGACGCACCTCTAATTGAATCACACTAGAGGTGGATCCACCCCGAATAGAACCCCATGAAGGTTGGAAGCGCCTGGTGTATAGTCTTATTAGATGTGGGCCCACTGCTACCCACATTCGATTGAAAACGGAGCCACCCCAAATATTTTCGGATCGGGGATGGAACCACTGCTCATGGGATTCGATTAGAGGTAGATGCGATCTTCTCGTTTTGTTCTTTCCCGTATCCAAAGTATGGGGTTCTTGTAACTATCCGACCGCGCCGGACCACCCATACCACCCCCTTCTCTGCACCAGACAACGATGAGGATTGTCATGATGATGACCATGGTATGGTGAGAGTATGGTGTGAGTATGATGGTGATGGTAAATGATGGATGAGTATGGTGATGATGATGATGACGATGAGCAGATGATGAGGATGTCTCGAGCGGCTTGCTGGTTTTAGCACTCCTAAGGGGGCGCCAGGGGGTATCTCACGGCCTCCGTTCGCGCCCGGTTTGCCTGTTTTGGTCCTCAACATCCTCCGCTTTCGGAGCAGATTTGGAGGATGTCTCGAGCGAGGCGCTCATTTTCACCCCCCAGGTGGGTCAGATTTTGAGGATGTCTCGATCGGTTTGCTTGTTTGGGTGGCCAGACTCGTGGGCACAGTTTCTCCTCAGGATGCCACAGGAGGCTCCAACAGGCTCCAGGAGGCCCCAGGAGGCCAAATGATGTCCCAGGAGGCATCAGGAGGCCACAGAGAGACTCAAGAGGCCACAGGATGTCCCAAGAGGCTCCAGGAGGTCCCAGGAAGCTCCAGGAGGTCTCAGGAAGCCACAGGAGGCCCCAGGATGCCACAGGAAGCGCCAGGAGGCCTCGGAAGGCAACAGGAGGCCCCGAGAGGCCCCAGGAGCAGGAGGCCTCAGAAGGCAACAGGAGTGGTTCCAATCCCATGTGGTTTGCGTATGCTCCTATAGATTGGGCCTCACCTGGAGCACGAATCCTTGATGCTATACGTATGTTTATATAGCTTGTGCTTCTCCTGTGTGTACACAATCCTAAATGTGTTGCTTATGTTCCAATGTTTGGGCCTCTCCTGGCCCACGAGTCCTTGGTGTTTTACGCGTGTCCCTATAGATTGACATTCTCCTGTGGCTCCAATCCGCAATGTTTTATGTACGCATGTTCCTATATGTTGGGCCTCTCCTGGGGCACGAATCCTCCCTAGGTGGTCCCAGGAGGCCCCAGGAGGCCCCAAGAGGCTCCTGGAGGCCCCAGGAAGCCCCAGTAGGTTTCAGGAGGCCCCAGGGGGGCCCAGGGTCATGCGCAGAGACGCGCTCGTACTACTGAGGCTCATTCACAATCCAATTCATTCGCAGTTAGATTCATGACCAGACCGTCACAACTCAAGCCCGCTTATATTCGAAAGCTCTTGCGCCTAGACGCTGACGGCGGACAGGTCCATACGAATAGATGCACATATGGGGAGCTCCACGTAGTTAATGATCTGTCTTATCTGTAAAAGTTGAATTAAAGGCCAAGCCGCCTGGAATACAACTCTTGTAAGAAATAATGATATTCCCACACGAAAGAACTCAAGTGGTAAACCCCCAACGTGAAGAACCCCACTGGAAAGTCGCACAGTGGGCTTCGATTTGGAATTCAAGCAACAGGAAGCGATGTAAAAACACCCCGGGCAAAAGGAACCCGTTTGCAAATCGCACGAAGGAACTCTATTCGTAACCCACACAATAGCTATCGAATCGTAAATCGCCCACAAAAGGAATCCTATTAAAAAGCCGCACAGAAAGGACCCAATGTGCAATCCGCATAATAAAAACCCATGTGTAAACCGCCCACACAAGTAATCCGACTGAAAAGCCGCACACAAGGATTTTAGTTGTAATCCACACTCTAAGGATAAGGTTGTAATTCGCCCACAAAAGGAATTCGAAAGAGAGCCAGGAAAAGTGGACCTTCCGAGAAAATCAAAAAACATAGCCCCCTCTATTGTCCATGTATTGTTAGCGCCCGCCCCGCACCAGAAAAAAAACAGAGGGGGGGGGTTGTTTAAAATGTGTCTGGCCTTCATGTAAAGAAATCCCTTTTGTGGACGATTTACACATTTATTTCTAGTGTGTCGATTACAATGAAAATTTCTGCGCCGCTTTCCAACAGGAAATTATGTGTGAGCGGATTACAAACAAAACTTAGACAGTGTATTACACATAGAATCCTTGTGTGCGGTTTTTCGTTATGATTACTTTTGTACACGATTTACACAGGTTTCTATTGTGCAGACCACATATATATATATATATATATATATATATATATATATATATCCATATATACATATATACATACATATATATATAAACAAAAACATCGCCCCTTCACTTTTGTTTATTCATGTTTTTGTGTTCCCCCTCCCACCCTGGCCCCGGACCAAAAAAGGAGGGGTCGTCGGTGTGTCGTGTGTTGCTATTGTTCTTGTCCCGGAAGGTCCAAAGCTGTTTGCTGGCTCCCTTTTAAAGGAAATCCTTATGTGGTTGATTTACAAATGGTTCTTTTTGTGCGGAGTACAATTAAAATCCTTGCGTGCGGCTTCTCGATAGGATTCCTTTTTTTTCGATTTACAACCTCATTTCTACTATATTGGTTACACTTAGAATTCCTTTTTGCGCCGCTGTTCAAGAGGATTCTATGACATAATACGACGAAGAAGATGCGAGGGAAACAAAACAATAAGAAATGAACATGCACAGACCGAGCAGCCAAACAACTTCCAACATATTAGCATACACCGCGAAAATGGTCCCCAAATAGTCCCTGATTTCCCCCCTCACCGGGGGGGGGAGGGGGGAGTCTCACACATCCGACGCCTTGAGACTCTTCGCGGTGTGATTGCCCCGAGGCCTGGACACCTCCCAGAGGGGAGGGGGACCGCCTCATCATCCCGGCCCACGCTTTGACGGCCAGGGGCCCCCGCAACGGCACCCAGAGGCCGAAGATTGCCAAAAACTCTCCGTCCTTGCGCACGTCTTGACGACGCGAAGGGAGGGAAAAGGGGGGGACAAGCTAGGTCCCTCCTATCCCTTACCATAGCGTAGATCTCCTCTCAATGCGCACAGTCGGATGTCGTAGCAGGGCATAGCATTACATGGCATAGCATTGTGTTGAGGATCAACGCGTAGCCTGACGCCCCACAGTGGGAGGGGTTCTGCGGCCCAAAAAATCAACGAATGGGCACCGAATGTATAATCACTTCCGATGGGGGGAAATTTTAGTTTTGGATTTGGAAGGACCGAAAACCATGCCGTGGCATGGCGCTGGAAATAATGACGCCAACGCTGCAGCGGGAGCACGATTCGGAACGAGCGGAAGCGCGGAAATACGGCCAGCGTGAGCGGAAGCGCGGAAATGAAGCCAGCGCTGCAGCGGGAGCACGATTCGGAACGAGCGGAAGCCCGAAAATGATGCCAGCGCCTCAGCGAGAGCAGCATGTTCAAAAAAATACCAGCGAAAACCCAACTCGCCGACATACGCGAGGGGGGGCCGAACACTCCGAGACAGATTTCGCCACAGACTCAGGGAGAGAGGAGAGTAGTATTCATAGTGGCTAGTTATAGAAAGGGGAAAAGGAGGAAGGGAAGTGGGGTGGTGGGAGAGGGGAGGGGGGGGGGAGGGGGCTGGGAGGTAGGAGGGGGGGAAGGGAAAAGGGGATCCGCCCAAGGTGGCCCCGCCTTGTTCTCCGCCTCGATGCGCTGCTGCTCTCTCAGCTCCTGGCAGCACCCCCTCTCGGATGCCGTCCCCTGCCACCCCACCCCCTATTCCCCCTCGGGCTCCCGTCTCTCCTCCCCTGTCCGCCTCTTACTCCCCCTCCTAATCCTCCTCCCGTGTTGACGTCGAGCGGACCTGTAGCCGAGCTTGTGGCGTTAGTGTTCCTCCTCCCCCTCATCCCGCTCATTTTGACGTTGAGCGGACCTGAAGAGGTCGTCCTCCTCCTCCTTCCTCCGTCTCATCCTCCGCCTCCTCCTCCTCCGACTCCTCCTCCTCATCATCATCAGCAGCAGCAGCATCATCATCCTCATGATCATCAGCATCAGCATCAGCATCATCATCATCATCAGCATCAGCAGCAGCAGCATCATCGTCATCGTCATCATCAGCAGCAGCAAGATCAGCATCAGCAGCAGCATCAGCATCATCATCATCAGCATCATCATCATCATCATCATCATCAGCATCATCATCATAATCAGCAGCATCATCATCATCGTCGCCATCATCAGCAGCAGCATCATAATCGTCGTCATCAGCATCACCATCATCAGCATCATCATCGTCGTCATCATCAGAATAAGCATCATCATCATCATCACCATCATCATCATCATCATCATCATCATCATCATCATAATCATCATCATCATCATCAGCATCAGCATCAGCATCAGCATCATCATCATCATCATCATCATCATCATCATCATCATCATCATCCTCATCCTCATCCTCATCCTCATCCTCATCCTCATCCTCATCCTCATCCTGCTCCTCCTCCTCCTCCTCCACATCCCCCTCCTCCTCCGCAACCGCCTCCTCCGCCTCCGCCTCCTCCTCCCCCTCCTCCTTCTCCTTCTCCTCCTCTCCCTCCTCCCCCTCCTATCCTAATCCGCCTCCTCCTCCTCCTTCTTCTCCCCCTCCTCCTCCTCCTCCTCCTCTCCGCCTCCTCCTCTCCGTCCTCCTCCTCCTCCTCTCCTCCTCCTCCCTCCCCACATCCGCATCATCCTCCTCTCCTCCTCCTCCTCCTCCTCCTCCTCCTCCTCCTCATCATCATCATCATCATCATCATCATCAGCATCATCATCATCGTCATCATTCACCTCCTCCTCCTCCTCCTCCTCCTCCTCCTCCTCCTCCTTAGTAGAAGTCTTGCTAGTAGAATGTTTCGTCGTATTGTTAATATTCTGAATATGCTAAGTATCAGTATGCGTACGATTATCAGGTTTATCATTAGTATGCTTAGCATTTACACTAGTATTGTTATTCGATGGTTCGTCATATTAGTAGTAATCGTTGTCGTCTTATTGTTCGTAGGATTGGTATGCTTAGTCTCGTTTGTCTCGTTGAAACTCGGATTACTATAATTACTAGACTTCATCATCGTCCTTATGACTACGAGTATGATTATTAGTATTTGTCTTATTAATACTATTCCTCCTCATATTCCTCCTCCTGATCATGGGGAGGGTCTACCCTGATCCTGGGGAGGGTCTGCGAGAGATGAGCAGCTTGGCAGTTGTTGTTATCTTGGCTTCAGTCGTGGTCACGGCTGGTTCGCAAGCACACTGTAAATAACGTTTCTGATCGATGTCGGGAGATCCGGCGTGTTGAGACGAGCCCCCCACATCACGGCGCATTCAATGCTGCATGGTTCGGCACTGTGGTGCAAGTTTTCCTGCGTGTGTTGGTGTTGAGATTCGAAGTTGTGGCATTCGGTTTACGAGGCTAGGGCTTCCTGGTACCACGGTGCGTCTGGGTATTGTATGTGGCTAACTCCTCCTTAGAACTTCGTGGGTGGCTCCAGGTCGTGGTGTGGCAAGTTCGCTGCATGAATTCTGGCCTGGGAGTCGACTCGATCCAGCTTCTGCTATATCGATCGTTGCGTGGGTGCCTCGCTCAGCCACCTGCGTCGTCTGCGCGTTCGTGCAAGTCGTGCTCCTGTTCATCACGCTCTCCCTGACTGGGGCCTGGGCGTTGCTCTCAAAAAGGAGGCGTGGGCTGGCCCTACAGACACTGCCGGCCACGCCGCCGTACGGACCCACGGGCCCAACCGGTGCCGCCGGGGCACGCCCAGCCACCCCGCGAAACGGGCTCCAGGCGGCACGGCCGGGCAAACGCCGCGCCACACCTCGTTGCCCCCTCCGAAACCCAACACCGCCGCAAGACCACGAAAACCCGGCAGAGGGGCGTCCCCCCCGAGCCCATGCGGCGCCCCACACCAATGTGGGCTCAGGCGCTTCCTCCTGTGGTCACCCACAGGATACGCCCGTGAGGCGCGCCAGGAGGACACGGTCGAGGGGAGGGGAGGAGGAAGGGGAGGGGAGGGGAGGGGGTAGGAGGGAGGGGGGCTGGGGAGAGGAGGGCAGGGGGCTGGGGAGAGGGCTGGGAGGGAGCTGGGGAGGGGGGGGAGGGGAGGAGGTAGGAGGGGAGGGGAGGGGAGGGAGCTGGGGAGGGGGGGAGCGGAGCAGCGGATGATGGAGCAGCGGCCTCGGGGCACGGGCGGAGGCGAAGGCGGAGGTGGACCCTGACGACGACGGACGCCGTCTGCGACGGCGCCAACGCCGACGTCGCCGACCACCACGACGACGCCGCCGGCGGCGCCGCCGACGACGACGCCGACGCCGGCGCCGGCGGCGACGACGACGACGACGACGGCGACGACGACGACGACGACGACGACCACAATGACGACGCCGCCGACGACGCCGCCGACGACGACGACGACGGCGGCGACGACCACAATGACGGCGACGACGACGGCGGCGACGACGACGACGACGACGACGACGACGACGACGACGGCGACGACGACGGCGACGACCACAATGACGACGGCGGCGGCGGCTTCGGCGGCGGGCGGCGGGCGGCGGCGGAGCGGGCGGCGGCGGAGCGGGGAGCGGCGGAGGCCCGACGGGGGGGGCGGCGGCGGGCTCCTCCTCCAGCCTGGCCCGCTTGGCCTCGCGCTCGGCCTCCTGTGGTGGGGCGAGAACTCTGCCTACAGGCAGAAGCCCTGATATAAGGGCGCGCGGTAAGTAACGGGCGAAGAACGGTATAAAATAAACTGTTTCGCTGTCGGGGGCGCCTGTCCCAGGGCGGCTGGAAAGTTTATATCCTTACGGTGCCACCGTAGGGGTATAAACTTTCCAGCCGCCCAGGGACAGGCGCCCCCGACAGCGAAAGAGTTTATTTCCCAACCATCCTGTGGTGTTGGGTCCTCGTTTTGAAGAGACAGCGCCCGCGTCCTCACTCCTCTCCTCCTCCCCCCCTCCTCCCTCCTCCCACCATCATCATCATCGTCATCATCATCATCGTCATCATCAACATCACCATGATATTCGGCGTCATCATCAGCATCACCCTCCGCATGCCTCTATTTCGGCACACCCCTCACACGGTTCGTTGTCCCGTAGGGAGCTCCACCGAAGCCCCCAGTGGCAGGGTTCGCATGGCGGCCCCGCCCCATTTTGGCGCACCCCTCACACGGTTCGTGGCGCCATAGGGAGCTCCACCGAAGGCCCCAGTGGCAGGGTTCGCATGGCGGCCCCGCCCCATTTTGGTGCACCCCTCACACGGTTCGTGGCCCCATAGGGAGCTCCACCGAAGGCCCCAGTGGCAGGGTTCGCATGGCGGCCCCGCCCCATTTTGGCGCACCCCTCACACGGTTCGTGGCCCCATAGGGAGCTCCACCGAAGGCCCCAGTGGCAGGGTTCGCATGGCGGCCCCGCCCCATTTTGGCGCACCCCTCACTCGGTTCGTGGCCCCATAGGGAGCTCCACTAAAGGCGTCAGTGGCAGGGTTCGCATGGCGGCCCCGCCTCATTTTCGCGCACCCCTCACACGGTTCGTGGCCCCATAGGGAGCTCCACCGAAGGCCCCAGTGGCAGGGTTCGCATGGCGGCCCCGCCTCATTTTGGCGCACCCCTCACACGGTTCGTGGCCCCATAGGGAGCTCCACCGAAGGCCCCAGTGGCAGGGTTCGCATGGCGGCCCCGCCCCATTTTGGCGCACCCCTCACACGGTTCGTGGCCCCATAGGGAGCTCCACCGAAGGCCCCAGTGGCAGGGTTCGCATGGCGGCCCCGCCCATTTTGGCGCACCCCTCACACGGTTCGTGGCCCCATAGGGAGCTCCACCGAAGGCCCCAGTGGCAGGGTTCGCATGGCGGCCCCGCCTCATTTTGGCGCACCCCTCACACGGTTCGTGGCCCCATAGGGAGCTCCACCGAAGGCCCCAGTGGCAGGGTTCGCATGGCGGCCCCGCCCCATATTGGCGCACCCCTCACACGGTTCGTGGCCCCGCAGGGACATAGGGAGCTCCACCGAAGGCCTCAGTGGCAGGGTTCGCATGGCGGCCCCGCCCCAGTGTGGCGCACCTCTCACACGGTTCGTGGCCGCATTGGGAATTCCTTTTGCTTCGTCCCACCTGCCCTGCGGTATTCACGTTTGCATATGGTTGGGTCCTTCGCCAGGATAATTTATACCGTTCTTCGCTCGCTGAGGTAAGGACGCAAGACCATTGGAAGCCGAAGT